AGGTCTCCTTTTGCCCTCTAGAACTTTCTCCCTTCTGCTCTGGGCCCCAGGAAGCTGATGTTCACAGACCCTGTCGGCCTGCTGTCTTCTGGATGGTTCTGTCCAAGAGAGGCCCCTCTCCACTTTCCTTACTCTCACACTAGGATCCCACTAGGACAACGCTTCTGACACTGTTGTGGTTTTTCACCCCAGAAACAATTCTGACAGTAACTGAGTGGAGTTAGCACCAGATCCCACAGGTTTTGTGGGACTGGACTCAGTACCACAAGACTGCCTCCATCTGATACGCCAATCACAAATAATAGGTCTCCAAGTTCCCCACACTTGTCTGAAGTTGGCTACAAATTGGAGGTTCCCATGTCCCCTCCTTGGGCTTGATAATTTCCTAGAGCAGCTCAAAGAACCCAGGACAACAGTTTTCTTGTTACTGCCAATTTATTACAAAGGGTGTTTTAAGGGGTACAAGTGAACAGCCAGTGAAGAGATGCACAGGGCAAGGTCTGGAACATCCCGAGTATAGGAACTTCTGTCTCTGTGGACTTGAGGTGTGCCATCCTCCCAGCACATATATGTGTCCACCAACCCAGAAGCTCTCTGGACCCCATGCTTTTGGTATTTTTGTGGAGACTTTCTCACTTAGGCATGATGGATCATGAGCTCAATCTCCAGTTCCTCTCTCCTCCCCAGTGGATGGGGCGTGGGGTGAGGTGGCAAGTTCCAAGCTTTGAATCATGGCTTGGTCTTTCTGGTAACTAGCCCCTATCCTGAAGCTATCCAGAAACCCACCAAGTGCTGCCTTTTTAGAACAAAAGACTATCACCCAAGAAATTCCAAGGGCTTTGAGAGCTCTGTGTAAAAAACTAGAGCCAAAGACCAGCTATTAGAACAACAGATGCTCCTAGTCTCTTAAGACTTAGGAAATTACAAGGGTGGAGGGAGCTCTGTGCCAGGAAGTGAGGAGAGGCCAATATATATATTTGCTATTATTTCACACCGTGGTGGTAGCCAGCCTTTGGGGGTGAACAAGGACAGTATTGTCACTCTCTGTCTGTGATCAGGTGGGCTATGTCCCTCTCCTGAAAGCACAGCTCCTATCATGTGCTCCTCGCTGTAGAACTATTCTCTAGTTTCCATCGGCCATGCCCTCCTTTTGCTCCTCAGGCTTAGAGAAGGGAACGGCTCCTACTGTTTCTAGCCCCAGGGTGTCTGGCCCTCCTTATTGGTTCCTTTAAGTGGCAACATCTCTGAAAGCAGCCCTCTTGGTCCTAGCTCTCCTCCGTGGCCCGGGTTGAGCCTGTAAACCTTTGCTTTCTTGCTGGGACTCTGACTGAAATAGGCAAGTTACCCCACCTCTCTCCTTCTCATTTTATCCTTTGTGAGTAGACGTAATGTTGTCCACGGAGCTGTGGCTGCAGAAGTGTCTCGCTGTAGGGCTCCAGGAATGTTAGCTCCTTCCTACTTGGCCATGGAGCTCAGCTGGATGGTGCACCCCATGAAGAGCTGGATGAGGGGTCAGCAAGAGAATACTCCTAAGAGTGGACATTTATTGAGGGAGGAACCATGTGTCAGGCAGCACCCCGAGCACCTACATGTGTTATATCACATAAGCTTCATTATAGGCCTATGAGATAATTATCATCAGCGACCATTTTTATAGGTGGGGTACCTGAGGCACAGAGGGGAAAGGAATGTGCCCAAGGTCTCTCAGGGAGCAGGAGGCAGAGCTGGGATTTGAATCCGGAAGTGGGACTCCAGAGCAGAAGCCTTCACCCCGGGGCTGTATTTCAGAGGGCCCTCCTTGTCAGGAAGCAGGGCCAAAAGGGATTCAAGTTGGGACCTCTGAGGCTGCAAACCTGTGGGCTGGTTTTTATGAGCTGTTGAAGGGAGCAGTGGTGTTCCAGGGCCACAGCTGCTCATGGCACAGGCTGTAGACGCTGCGCAAGCCAGGTTCTTCTGGGTCACGGGGCCAGCTGTGGGCAGGTAACTTTCTGTGGTGTGGTTGAGTTCACACTCTTGCTTTGGACTTCAACCTCAGCGGTTGCTTTACTCTTTGAATTTTAAAGTTTGGACAAAACACCTTGCCAGACTACACAGTCTGGAGTGTCTCTGGAACAACTGGAGTTTTGTCTGTTCTATATCGATCACTTTGGAAACTCTTCTGTTGGATGGATAATTTTCTAGCTTACTTCAGCCTGTTTATTTTCCTATTGTATTAATGGTATTTTCCAATATGGCAAACCACTAAGCAGAGGGCGCAGATGAGACAAAAGGCTGGGAGCACCCGTGGCTCCATCTTCTGGGCACAGTTCATTAAAAGCTTAGGGGCAGGTCTGTCCTACCAATGCTGTCCCCTCAACTTGCACAACGCCTGACATGTAACAGGTCCTCAATTAATGTTGTTGCATGATTGGATGAATGAATAAACAAACCACCCGTGGTTCTTGTCATAGTACTGAGCTAAATTTCTGCCACGTGGTAGATAATTCTTGTCTTCTGTCCTTCCTTCCAGCATTCAACCCCTGTTAAGTAGAGCCCCAGTGCAGCTACTCTTGCTAGGGATGATTGAAGTTCCTCCTGAGGTTGTCTTCTAATCAAGAAGCTGCCATGTATCTGGGATCCAACATCACTTAGCTGGTGTCATGTGTGAAGCTACCAGGAAGTGCCTGGATGGCTTTAGTTCTCCACATGATATTTGCATCTTGAGTGGAAGCAGGAGGGAACTTACATTTATTGAGGCCTGCTATGTGCTGTGTATGATTCACAGTCCCGTTGAGAAGGGGAATCTCTCATTCCACTTCTCTGGATTGGGAAACCAAGGCTGGAGAGACCAAGGGACTGGCCCAAGGTAACATAAGGAGGAGCTGATAAAGCTGATAATGATCCCTGTTGAGCCTTAAATTCCTGCCCCTTTTGGTGTGCAATGCTGGTGAGAGCTAAGAGGTGCTATCTGCTTACGTAGGGCAAGTGTTTTCATGCCTTCTTTGTTTTCATTTGTTTTTTGGGGACAGGGTGCTGGTTCTTCTTGTTCTCCACCACCTTCAGAAGTCAATGCCAGTGAAATCTACTTTGTGGAACTGGTTAAAGAAGATGGGACGCTTGGATTCAGCGTGACTGTAAGAATTTTAGGCAAGCTTGGAAAGTACACAGTTGAAAAGATGTACCTGGAGCCTTGGTGGGCATTCCATTCATATGGCAACCTCTGATAATGTGCTCCTTGTGTGCAAGCAGCACATGGGAAGCGGTGAGCCAAGAAAGTCAGTGGGGCCTCTGTGAGAGGTGGGTGGGAGGACTGAAAGGCAAACCGGGAGATGCAGGGCAGATTTGGGATGATCAGGCACTCCAAGCAGCGTGGGTGGGACTAGGTGATGGGTCCCCACGCTATGGTTATGCCATACAACAAAGAAAGGGCAGCGGAGTGGGACTGTAGGGACATAAGCCAAAGGGGAGTTAGGTGATCCACGGTCATCCAGAGGAGGGTCACAGTGTAACCTAGTGTTCCCGCTTCCAAGGGCAGAACAGAGTCACCTTGGCCAGACCAGAGTTCAGGAGGGCCACTTTGCATTTGTTTCTGAGCTCTAGCTGCAGACCCTGGAGGAGGGAGGAGAAAACTGTACAAGAATGATACAATCGCACTGATGGAAAAACCCATACATGTGCGCAGCTACGTGCATGAAGAAGTCAGAAGAAAAGATAAAGTTAGATCTTCCTCTAGTAAACTGAGGGCTGCTCACAATCTAGTGTTAAGTTAGAGAATAAAAGTCAGTTATAGAGCATTGTGTAGTGAATTCTGGGTTTGGATTTCCGAGCACCTGCTACAGGAGTGGGCTGGGCGGGCCGCAGCACAGCTCCCTCCTGCAGCTGTGTTGTTATACTCCTTATGGGCATCTAACCTTGCGGCACAGTGGACAGTGTAGTCTGAACAAACAAGTGAATATCTAAGATGTTGTCACGTGGAGATGAGGTAATGGGATAGAGTGGCAGCCAGAGGGGTACCGCTTTGGGAGGCTGAGGAGGCCCTGTCCGGAGGGGGCAGATGGGTGGTGAATCTTTCATTGTATTTTCCAGGGTGGCATTAACACAACTGTGCTCTATGGCGGTATCTACGTGAAATCCATCATTCCTGGAGGGCCAGCTGCCAAGGAAGGGCAGATCCTGCGGGGTGAGGGATGGAGTCATGTTGGGAACTGCATTCTGTGGTATGATCCTGGTCTGGGAGCTACAGCCTCCAGGCCTTGCCCCAGTCTCATCCTAGACTTCATGCAAATGATTGCCTCTCCAGGTCTTGGTTTCCTCACCTGGGAAAGGGGCTGATTCAACCTGGCCTACCTCCATGATAAGTTAACAAGGCGATGAAATGTTTGTAGTGGTGCATTGGGAAGTATAAGGTGATTTTAAAATAGGAGACTTTAAATAAGCTTGTTGCTGTTTGGCCTTCATGGGAGAAAGTAATTCTTCCCATAGAGGACAGAGTGTGCATTGGTGACCCCCACTTCAGTATCCAAGGAGGACAGTGGCAAGCCTTCTCTCCACCCTTCCTCATGTCCAGTGCTCTGAAGCGAGGGGGTGATTTTTATTGCTCTCCAAAATGGCAGGTTGAGCCAGAAAGGGCACCCAGGATCTTAGCTATCTCCATTTTCCCAAGAATTCTGCTGTCCTTGGCATCAACCAGGTCTTTTTGACCTGTTTTGAAATAAAAGAAGAACATCCTGGAGATATAAATATTACCCCTAAGTGACTTGAAAGTACTTTCAGAAATGGTTTCACAAGAAAACAGGAGAAAGGATACGGTTATACAGAGTTGGCTCAACCCCTCTGTGAGCCAATAATAGAAAGATTTCTGTATCATTGATCTATAACGGTGTTCAGAGAGGTGGCTGGCAGCCAAGCCCTGTCGGGGCTTCTCACAGCTTGGCTTCCTGACCCTCCTTGAGGCTGCGTGAAGGGTGCTGGGCGGGGGCCTCCAGCAACAGTCATTCCCGCAGCCTCAGGAGCTCGAAGACATGACCTTTGTCCCCCTCCCAGGCGACCGGCTCCTGCAGGTGGATGGAGTGAGTCTGTGCGGCCTCACCCACAAGCAGGCTGTGCAGTGCCTCAAGGGTTCTGGGCAGGTGAGTGCCCCATTAGCAGGGAGTTGTCTTTCTGCCCTCCAGAGCTTTCTTGGACAACATCAGAAGCTGCGGTTGCCTCTGGGTGGGAGGCGGACAGGCAGGAAACAAAATAAGACTTTCTTCTTTGTCTTCTTTCTCTTTCACTTTTCTATGGTGATGTGAAGGCCAGGAGGAAGCAGACAGATTTCCCAAGCAGAATACCTCACCCCCTGCAAAGAACCTTGAAAAGCTGCCTTTCACTTGCCTCGATTCTGGAATCAGACAGCTACACAGGGCTGATGTGGTGGATGACTTCTCCCCATTGGCTCTGGCTCTGGTTGCCCCCTCACACCTTCTGCTCCAGCCCAGACTGGCCAATGCTTCCATCTGCCCTCTGGCCCTGTCACCAGCTGGCCTTTGCACTTGCTGACACCCTCTCCCCAGTTCATGCTATTCCCATCAACCTGGGTAAATTCAGGCCCCACTGTCCTGGGATTCTGATCACAGGGAAGTAGAAATTCCAGACACCCGGAGCCAAAAGCACTGACCCGTTAGGGACTCCTTATTCTCTGTAGTGCCCAAGCAGCATCTGGATGTTACCATGCTGTGTTCAGTCCTCTGCCTGAGGGTGGGAGCCTTTTCGTGCCTCAGTGTCCCAAGCCTCAGAGCTGGCATTGCCCTCTGGGTAACTGGGGAGTTGGCAGAGACGGAAAGGACTCCTGTGGGCCCTTCTGGCAAACTGAGGGAGCAGAAGGGCCCCTGTTTGCTTCCTTTCCCGAAGCAGTCTTCCGGTTTGCAGTGAAATTTACTTTTGCTGGCTACCTTGGTTGACCTATCTTAAGAACAGAGTCGTAATTTATTAGCACTCTCTGCTCTTCAGACTTTTGCTAATGAACGTGGTCAGAGAAGGTACTTCTTGCTTGCTGCTGGCGGCAGTGATGACAGGTAGGAATTGTCACTCTGGGATCATGGGCATGGTGCTAAATGACAATGGCAGCAGAAGGATGTTAGCAGGCCCAAGTCCCCTGAATGGAAGCTCGACATTTCTAAAAAGCTTCCAGGTGATGTCTAGCCACTTGTCCCTGAACGTTGCTTTGTGTAACAAGAGTATAGCGTGTGTAGGGAAGAAGAATGGAAAATCAAACCAAAAGAAAGGGGGAGGCCAGAATGGCAGAGGTCTGGGATACCCTGCTAGGTGATGGGAAACGTTAGAGACTTTTGATCAAGAGTGCTGCATGATCAGTCTGTGTCTTAGATCAACCCATGGGTAGCCATGGTGGGGAGTGACCTGAGGAGGAGAAGATAGGGTCCAGGAAGCCAAGTTAGCTGGAGTTTGCCACAGACCAGTTGGGCACTGGCAGCAGGAGAAGAAATGGAGAAGGGGGAGCCCTGGGGGAGATGTTTCTGATGGTGAACAGATAAGTCTTAGGAATCAGATGGGCATTTGGGGGGCAGAAGGGGGTAAGCTGGATCCCTGCAGGTGTGGCCCCTAGGAGGTTAGTAGAGGGATGGTTCCATGTTCGGAGAGAGCAGATGCAAGGGGAGGAATGTTTTAGGCAGAACCAGGAGGGGGTAGTAAAGATGAGAGAGAGGAAGAAGATGAATTTGACCTTGAATGCACTGAAATGGAGGTACATGTGTTATCTCCAGAAACATTTGTCCGACAGGCAGTTGAAAATATGGCTCTGGATCCCAACAAGTGGGCTAGATTGGAGATTTTAATTTGAGATTCAAATGAAGCAGCTATTGGAAGTATCAGAAAATTAAGAAGCATTTGCAGGGTGAAGGGAGAGCCTGCTGGTTACCATATGAAGTGCAAATGGAGTTTGTCCAACCATCTTCTAGGTTGCAAGACTGGTCTTAGAGAGAAGAGGCCCCAGGACCGCCCAGCAGTGTCCTTCTGCTAAGGACAGGACGGGAGATGAATGCAGGGCTGTTTCCTTGGCAACAGCCTTGCCTGGCAGGCCCTCGGGCTGTGTCTCAGCGACAGATGGTGAGAGGAGAGAGAATTGAGTGTTACTATTGTCATGTCATCCTGTGCTCCTTTTGAATTCTCAACTCAAAAGGGAAGGTACGAAGGCCTCCTCTGGCTTCACAAAAGATTGTGAGCATGATGCGGCTGGTGTTCGGATGCAGTGGAAGCCAATATAATGGAATATGTTTCTGGAAAAAAAAATGCATTGTTCCAAAATGATTGCCAGGCATAATTCTCCCCTGTGCCTTCTGAGGTTTCTCGATCAGGTGCCTGAATACTTGTGTATAAATCTTTAGGAATGAAATTGGAATGAAAGGGTCAGGCATTTTCTGACCAAATCTCTACCTTCTAGCCAAGACATTCATAGCAAAAGATCTGGGGCGTGCTGAGGCAGGCTGGGAGGGGAAGGTGCTCAGAAATCTAGCCTTGTTATCAGCATCATGTGAAACAGTAAATGTCCATCAGTTTGCAGGGACATCATGGCATATCTTCCAATGGGCTGCCTCTCTGCACTGCCCCGTGATTTTGTTTTTCCTGCTAGGAAAACATGTACTCCTTTAGCATTTCATGATTTGGAGCTTAGCCACTTTTCAATCCGTTTTTAGAGATTTTCCTGAAGGTGTGAGTCAGGTTGGATGCAAGGTAACCGTAGTGAGCAATGGGGTTGGGAGGAAGGGAACACGCATGCCTAAGACGAGTCTGTTTCCTCTTTGATTGCTCCTCTGCTCACTCCAGGGAGGCCCTTCGACAGACTCGCTATCAAATGAGGTGAGGGGGTCTCATGGCAGTGTGGTGAAATTGGTCATATGATACACTGGCAACTAAAAGCCTCGGGTGCTTTCATTCTTGTCCCAAATTAAGGTTTATGAGTCAGGGCTCTGTTCTATTGATTCATTGCCAACTGAGTCGAAGGCAGACTAGGAGAGACCCAAAGGCCTCTGGCTGTTAGACTAACGAGGTTCCCAGAGCTGTGTCCATCTTTGCTGCCCAGAGGCAGCTGTTTCGTCTTATGGTCCGTCCACATGGCTAAAGAAAACATTTCCATAGAATTTACCAGCATTTTCTCCAGAGTCTAATTATGCAAAATTTTGTTTCAAATATACTAAAATGATTGAGGTTCTCAAGGAGTAATAGGAATATATATGAAATAAGTTTTATTAAGTGATAGAGGCATATTGTGTATGTCTATAAACTATATCTTTACATATAAACCTTGTGGATTATCTATAATTGTTTTGTCCAGTATGGTAGCTACTAGCCACATGTGGCTGTTGAGTACTTGAAATATAGCCAATCCAAGTTGATAAAATACATATTTGGTTTTTGAAGACTTAGTACATAAGAAGGATGCAAAATATCTCATTAACACTTTTTTTATATTGACTACATGTTGAAATGGTCATATTGTAGATATATTGGGTTATATGCACTGTATGATTAAGTTTATTTTAGCTGTTTCCTGTTACTTTTTAAAATGTAGCTATTTGAGAACTGAAATTACACAAGTGGTTCACATTTGCAGCTCACCTTATATTTCCACTGGGCAGCACTGATCTATGATAAGTATAATGGACTCTCATAAAAATTAGCAAAATGAAATCTTTTCGTGTAAAACAGAAATAATTCATCTACCTGACAGTTTACGTTTTAAGGCCAATTTCATGCAGAATCTACTAAGGGATTTATCTTGTCCACATCCCACCATACAGGTCCTAAGTTTGAAGTCACTCTGAAAAAAAATGCCAGTGGTTTGGGATTCAGCTTCGTGCAGATGGAGAAAGAAAGCTGCAGCCATCTAAAGAATGATCTTGTGAGAATTAAGAGACTCTTCCCAGGGCAGCCAGCTGAGGAGAATGGGGCCATTGCAGCGGGTGACATTATCCTGGCCGTGAACGGAAGGCCCACAGAAGGCCTCGTCTTCCAGGTAGGAGACCATGCAACCCTGTGTGCACACTGACACCAGCCATGTTTCTTTCAGGCCCACCCACCATAAGGAATACTCTGGGTTCCTGAAAGTCACACCTGGAACCTGGATCATACAAAGAGAGCAATTGGTGGAACATTTTCACATTTAATTTTCTGTCTCAGTTCTTGCATATCTGACCTTGAATAAGCCTTGCTTCTAATTAGGTTTATAATGAAACCGAAGATAAAACCCTGGCTCTGTGCTGGCTAAAGCTCTCCTAACATTCTAGGAGGTGGGTATGTGGGCTGAAGAGACTGCAGTGGGTCCCTTTCTGCCCTTCTTCCCATTTCTCTATTAAATTTACAGATGTTGACCTGCAGTGTTGCATCAGTTGTCCTGTATATATTCAAAAATGAAATTTAAAAAAAGAGTAAAAAGTGGACACTTCTCCCAGCGCCTGGGTGGCTCATTTGGTTAAGCATCTGACTCTTGATCTCAGCTCAGGTCTTGATCTCAGGGTTGTGAGTTGATGCCCTGCACTCGGCTCCACACTGGGTGTGGAACCAACTTAAAAAAAACGTGGACACTTCTCAACGCTTATACCATAATCTCATTGGAATACTGTGCATATCAGTCAGGGTCCTGGTTGGAAATTGAGTCATTTGAGGAGAGTTTAATAAAGGTGTGAGCTGGTTGTTGGGAAGCTCAAGAGAGATGTGGAGCCCTGGAGCCGGGAAGAGTGGGTGCAATTATCCATCCACCCCTCCCAAGTCCAAAGACATATGGGAAGGAGCAATTATACGACCCGGGAAACTGAGAGAGCTGGTGAAATGGACCTGATGACATGAACTGTGACATTTGCTGAGGGACCCGGCCATTCTGCGACAACCCCATGGGGAGGAAAGTGGGGAAAACAGACACCCACCTCTCTCTCCTCCCAGCTCTGATCCCTACCTATGCTTCCATTGGCTGAGTCCAAGAGGAAGCACCGCCCTCTCCTGTCTCTGATCCCACCCATGTTCCCATTGGTGGAGCCCAACAGGAAGCCAGTCTGCGCAGGCCCACCTCCTGAACACAGAGCACGGTGGGGAGTGGCTCTGGACTGAGTGGCGAGGGCTGGAGATTCCCCAGGACAGCCTATGCTGGGGTGGCAATACTTTCATCTATCTAGTTTGTGAGCCAAGAACTGTTTCCTGAGAACCAGTGCTGGGTCAGCAGCTCTTTGAGGAGCTAACGACGCAGAGGCAGGCAGTTCATATGTTCTCAGTGTTTGTAGTGGGGTGGGACAAACAAGGAAACAGAACTGACTGTGGAAAACAAGTGTTACGGGAAACAACAATGCTTGCCCCAGGGAACTGGGGAAAAAGAAAGTGCTTGCCGCAGGGAACTGAGGAAGGAAGCACGTTCCGTGAAAGTCCATTGCTGCTAAAGGGGGGTATTAAGTGGCGTCTGGATCAGCGGTTCTTGAGTTAGAATGATATTGCCTTTCAGGGGATGTTTGGCAAAGTTCATATACGTTTATGGTTGTCACAACTAGCAGGTGCCACTGGCATCAAGTGGGCAAAGACCAGAGATGCCGCTCAACATTCTACAACGAACAGGACAGCCCCCACAGCAGAGAGTTATCTGGCCTAAAATGTCAGTACTAAGGAGACATTGAGAAATTCTGGCTTAGATAGGAAATAGGAACTCTCAAGGCACCTTGAAGCCCTGGGATCTGAGACAGTGGGTTGGAGGAAGAGGCTCAGCATAGTTGGGGCTCAGGTTGTGGGAGCAGCGGAAGCAGGTGGGAGAGAGAGAGTGGGCTAAGCAAGGCAGTGGCAGGTAAGAACAGATCCTGCATGCTGCCCTGCAGAGCTTGTTGAATGTGAGATGACCTGGTCATATCTGCATTGTGGAAAGAGCGCTCTGGATCACGATGGAGGTGGGGAGGTGGGTGACACTGGAGGAGGAAGGGAGCAGAGGAGGGCACTGCAGTGACACAGGTGAGAGGTTCCGAGTGCCCGAGCTGAGCAGTGGAGGAAAGCTCAGGGCCAAAGGTCAAGCTGTAGAGACTGGGGTGGTGGAACGTACATGACCGATGGCCCCTGAGATGGGGGGCTGCTGAGAGGAGAGGGAGGTTGAGATGATGAAGACATTCTCTGAGTGAAGAACACATATGTGTATTGGCAAGTGCTGCCATGAAAAGACCCTGGGCAGACCAGGGCCCCTAACAGCCCAGCATGGTGGCATTGCCTTCATGGGGACCCCAGGCTGGTGACTTTAGTGTCTCTCACTTTAGGAAATCAGGCCCATAGCAGTGTTCTCCAGAGTTCTCTGGAGCCGAGAAACAGATCAAGGGAACAGTGCCAGAGAGATAGTGGGGAGCACATAGGAGGAGATGCCACAGCCATGCCACGCCCACATCCAACCACAGATTCTGGTTTCTCATAGGAGGTGCTCCATTTACTGCGAGGGGCCTCACCGGAAGTCACGCTCCTACTTTGCCGACCCCCTCCAGGTGCACTGCCTGAGGTAGACCAGGGATGGCAGGTAAGCTGCGGTGCCCTCTGGTGCCTTCAAGCACCCCTTTTCTTTTTTTTTAATTTTTTAATTGTTATGTTAATCACCATATATTACATCATTAGTTTTTGATGTAGTGTTCCATGATTCATTCTTTGTGCATAACACCCAGTGCTCCACGCAGAACGTGCCCTCTTTAATACCCATCACCAGGCTAACCCATCCCCCCACCCCCCTCCCCTCTAGAACCCTCAGTTTGTTTTTCAGAGTCCATCATCTCTCATGGTTCGTCTCCCCCTCTGACTTACTCGCCTTCATTCTTCCTCTCCTGTTATCTTCTTTTTTTTCTTTTTTCTTAAAATATGTTGCGTTATTTGTTTCAGAAGTACAGATCTGTGGTTCAACAGTCTTGCACAATTCACAGCGCTCACCGTAGCACACACCCTCCCCAATGTCTATCACCCAGCCACCCCATCCCTCCCACCCCCAACCACTCCAGTAACACTCAGTTTGTTTCCTGAGATTAAGAATTCCTCATATCAGTGAGGTCATAGGATACATGTCTTTCTCTGATTGACTTATTTCACTCAGCATAACACCCTCCAGTTCCATCCACGTCGTTGCAAATGGCAAGCTCTCATTCCCTTTGATGGCTGCATAATATTCCATTGTGTATATATACCACCTCTTCTTTATCCATTCGTCTGTCGATGGGCATCTTGGCTCTTTCCACAGTTTGGCTATTGTGGACATTCAAGCACCCCTTTTCTTGTCTGGTGGGTCCTGAGAAACCTAACTTTGTTTTAGGTAGGGTTCAATGCCATCTTCTTCCACCGGGGCAGGGAAATAGCTGGCCTCCAAACCTCAATTAGTCTGTGACAAGTTCATGAGATCCCATGTCTGTCGTCTCCTCGCCCTCCCTACTCTGCCTCTACAATGTTTGAATCTTCCTGTAGATAGTTATATGTTTAGATCTCGTCGGTGAAACTTCTAGACTCAGGCCTTCTGGTGGCCCAAGCATCAGAGAGGGGAAGTCAGGAGCAAGAATAATAATACAAAATCAGACTGAGGAAAGGTAAGAATTTCCATTCTGAGGAATGAAATGGAGAACAGGGTATGTATCCACTTTCCTAAAGTATGAATTAGACATGTATGGTTTAGTCCAAAGGAGAGGCAATGAGATCGGGAAAATTAAAAATTTTTGCCTTGATAATTATATTAGTGTGTCCAGTGAGATAGAATCAATAGGGCGTGTATGTGTAGGGGTATGTAGTTGGGAGGGGAGGTTAGGATATGGGCTCACATGATTGTGGGGGCTGGCCAGTCTAAATTCTGCAGAGTAGGCTGGCAGGCTGGAAACGTAGGGAGGGGTCCATGGTGCAGCTGTGTCCCAAGGCAGACTGGAGGCAGAATTCCTTCTTCCTTGGGGATCTCAGTCTTTTTCTCCTAAGGCACTCAACTGATTGAATGTGGCCCACCCATATCACGGAGGGTCATCTGCTTTACTCAAAGTCTGCTGATTTCAGCGCAAATCTCATCTGAAAAATGCCTTCACAGAAACATCTAGACTAGTGTTTGACCACACATCTGGGTACTGTGGCCTAGCCAAGTTGACAGATAAAATTAATTGTCATAATGCCACTGGTTGGGTCCCGGGACACAGACGCTGTAGCAGAGATTTGAGTGCCAGAGATTTATGGGGCCTGCTCTTGGGAACAACCCCTGTGAGGGTGAGGGAGGCAGGGCTGGGTGGAAGGAGAAGTTAACGTGGTGCAGCTGCAGCAGGGGCCTCTGCTTATGCCACATAGAGCTTTGGAGCTGGGATGACAAGAGAGCCTGTGCCTTTGCACTTACTATCAACCAGCACTGTGGTGTGGGCTGCCCCAAGAAAGGGGGCCGGGCTTTGCCTGAGACAGCTCCCTTGAGCTGAGCTGAGCAGGATTCTTGGGGAAGGGCTAGCTGTGAGCTGTCAGTAACCAGCATTCCAGGCAGCTGGGGGATGGGCCTTCATCCTGGGGAAGCATCTGTGTGGGCATCCTGTAGTCACCTGCACCTGCTCTGCCATGCACCAGCTGTGTGGACCTTGGGCAATTGCCTAACTTCTCTAGGCCTTGTGATTTCTCATTTATAAGATGTGGATAGAGTTGATCGCTCATCCCTGAGGTGACAATCACTAGAGACATCACAGAAGATTTTGTGATCCAGATCCTTCTGATTCTTGGACTCCAAGAGGTCATTTGATACAGACTTTGTGAGAAAATTGCCAGGGAAAGGAAATCAGAAAGCTGCCAGTTTGGAAAAGAAGGTAGACATGGCAGTTGTGTTGGGCAACTGACTGGGATGTGAGAAGGTCAAGCTTCACATGCATAGAGATCAGGCCGTGGGGCTTGTGCCCTGTGCTTTTGTTGAGATATCTAGGAAATGCCAGGAAAAAGTGGTCCTTCTGTTCTGGAGAATGGCTCTACCTAGGAGGGCCCAGAAAAGTCCAGTGGGAGGGCTTGGAATGAGGCATGGTGGGCATGCTTTCTCTCTGTTTAGACTTGAGGGCCAAGTGGAAGAGAAATTTTCATTCATTCATGTGGCTTCAGAGGTCAGATAGAAGACCAAGGAAGGGAGCCTTTAATTCCTAACTAGAATAAAGTAGTCATGGAGAGGAGGCAGCCGTACAAACATCTGGAGTAGGAAGATCATTCCAGGCAGAAGCGATAGCAAGTGTGAAGGCTCTGAGACAGGAATGAACCCGGATGTTCGAGGGACAAGAGTATAACAGGTGTGGAAGGGGAGAAGCTGTAGAGGGAAGCAGGGGCCACGTCATGTAGCACCTTGTAGATGTTGGCAATGTGCTGATTCCATCTTGGTGGCAATGGGAAGCCACTGGGCTGGAAGTGGTGGGAGAGTGAAGGGTTAGGCAGGAGTGTACCCTCATCTGGTCTATACTTTAGAAAGACCACTGAGCTGCAGATGGACTGGAGCAGATAAGCCAGCAGTCATTCAAAGAAGCCACTGTGGCTTGGACTCAGGCTGTAGCCGAATAGTTGGTAAGAAGTAGTCAGATGTAGGAGGTAGAGCCCAAAGGATTAGTTTTGGCTTAGATATGGTCACATGGAAAGAGAGCAAAGTTTGGCTTGAACAACTGGTTGAATGGTGATACTACTCGCCAAGGTAGGGAGTGCTGGGAGAGTGCAGTTTAAAGTACGTGTAAGAGAAGCAATAGTTCTTGGGAGTAAGCAAAACTGAAATGTCTATGGAATAGCCAGTGGAGATGTCAATTAGGCAGGTGTTTGTGGAGAGTTGGCATGATATCAGGGCTGGAAAAGGTGGATTTGGGAACTGTCAGCAAATAACATTATTTAAAGCTATGAAATGGATGAGATCACCTTGGGAAAGAGTGCAGGGAAGTAAGCCGTGGGACCCCCCCAACATTGAAAGGTCCGGTTCAAAGAAATGACACAGCAGTAGGGGCCTGGGAGATGGTGGGAAAACAAGGGAGGGCTGAGTTCAGAGTGAACACATTCAAGTAGAGTAAGTGAGTAAAGGATGCTCTCAAGAAGGAGGAAGAAACCAACTATGATGCATGCTACTGAGAGGTAGAATGAGCCGAGGAGAGACAATTGTCCTTGGCTTAGAACGATGTAGGTCACTGGAGACCCTGAGCAGAACTCCTTCCGTTGAATGATGGAGACAGAAGCTGGGTGGAGTGTGTGCAGGGAGAAGCGGGGAGACAAAACAGAAATAATGAGGATAAGCATGCATTTGAGGAGCTGAGAAAGGAGTGGCTGGTCTTTGGAGGAGGTTGGGAGAGGGATGCGGGCTTGTTGGTAGACTTTGCTGTGAGGAGATGAAGGATTCTCATCTGAATGTGCCCATTTTCACTGTGAAGTAAGAGGCAAGGTCAGGGGAGTGGCTGAGGAGAGAGAGGAGAAATAATGGAGAGGGTAGAAAGAATGGGAAACTGACTTCACTAAGAAAGTAAAGAAAGATTATCTGGAAGTCTTGAATGCCTGTTTGACACCTGTGCCCATACACGTGGCATTAGTGTCTAGAAGCAGCTACAGAGTCCACATAGGGTGTCCCTAGGGATTGGAGTTCACATACGGCCCCTGCGTGTCACACAGAACGGAGGCAAATAGAGGCACATAATGCAGAATGGGAGCGCGGAGTCTTCTTTATTTTTAAGTGTGTGTTTGTGGGGCAGAAGCATGGACTCTTAGCAGAGGAAGAGGGTGGGGGTGGGGGATGGGGTGGTGACAAGGTACCATTGACTGGAAGCCTTGAAGAGGGTGAAGGATCGCTGTAGAGTGAGCACTGGGGGTGATGAGGTGGAGGGAGGGGAATGGTTGAACATGAGATTGTGGAGGTCTCCCTAGGGGTAGTACAAGAGAAAATATAACTGCTCTTACTATTTATTTTTTATCTCATCCACTTCAAATTATAATGTTTGGTATGTCCTTTATAATTTGCATTGTATATCAGCAGAGTCATAAGAGTTTATGACTTATAATTAAATAAAAGTGCATATTTGCGCGGACACCTGGGTGGCTCAGTCGGCTGAGTGCCTGCCTTTGGCTCGGGTCATAATCCCAGAGTCCTGGGATCGAGCCCCATGTCAGGCTCCTTGCTCAGCAGTGAGTCTGTTTCTCCTTCTCCCTCTGCCCCTCCACCTGCTCACTCTCTCTCTCTTAAAAAAAAATGCATATTTGGAAGCATATCCTCCCTCATTTTGAGGAATGGGCAATCAGCAAGGTGAGGAGCCTGCCGGGGCAAGTGGCCGAGCAGCAATTTCTTTTCTGCTTTGGTGAGGATAGGGATGGGGGGCCAGCCCTGTCTGGCTCTCAAGTCCATGTGTTTTTACAACGTCAGGCATGTAGGTCATGGGATGGAAGTGCTAAAAGATAATTTTCAGGAAAAAGTAAACTCATGACTCTCACATAGATGTAAAAATGAATATATGTTAAAGATTTTATCTAACCCATTCAATAAGGGAACTGGACAGATGTTAAAATTGGTTCAAAAGAGATTTCAAAGAACAACATATTTGTTTATAGAGATTTATGAAATAGCTCAAAACAAAGAATACATAGAATCAGATAACCCGGAAGGTTGTGCTGTAAACAAAGCATAGTTTCTACTGAAGTATAGATTTTTTTTTTTTCCTACAGAAAGGTTGTTCCTACAGCATTAGTGTGCCACATTGTGTCATCAAAATTAGAACCTACTAGGCCCAACAGGGATATAAGCAGTTGTGGTGAATCAAGTAATATTTGGATAAGTGAGGAGGAGACCCAGGGCAGGGAATCAGGATGGGAAGGGGGCTGGGGCTGTGAGAATGAGCCATCATGAATGAGGACAGATGAAGACAAGAATTTACAAAACTCATTTCTTACTGGAAAGTGAGACAAAGCGTCATTGTTACTTTTGTTTCCATATTTTTTAAGTTTCTTTTTAAATTTTTATATTTGGGCGCCTGGGTGGCTCAGTCGGTTAAGCGGCTGCCTTCGGCTCAGGTCATAATCCCAGGGTCCTGGGATCGAGCCCCGCATCGGGCTCTCCGCTCGGCGGGGAGCCTGCTTCTCCCTCTCCCTCTGCCTGCCTCTCTGCCTACTTGTTCTCTCTCTGTATCTCTCTGCCAAATAAATACATAAAATCTTTAAAAAAATAAATAAATTTTTATTTATTTATTATTTTTTTAAATTTAAGTCGTCGGTAGTTAACATACAGTGCGATATTGGTTTCAGGAGTAGAATTCAGTGATTCATCACTTACATACAACACCCAGTGCTCATCACAGCAAGGGCCCTCCTTAATACCCATCACCCATCTAGCCCATCCCCCACCCACCTCCCTCCACCAATCCTCAGTTTGTTCTCTGTCATTAAAAATCTCTTATGACTTGTTCCCTCTTTTCTTTTTTTCTTTCCCCCCTTCCCATATGTTCATCTGTGTTCTTCCTTAAATTCCACATGAGTGAAATCACGTGGTATTTGTCTTTCTCCCAGTGACTTATTTCACTCAGCATAATATACGCTAGCTCCATCCATGGCATTGCAAATGGCAAGAGTCCATTCTTTTTGATGGCTGAATAATATTCCATTGTTTATATATACCACATCATTATCCATTCATCAGTTGATGGACATTTGAGCTCTCTACATAATTTGACTATTGTTGATAATGCTGCTATTAACATCGGGGTGCATGTATCCCTTCGGACTAGTAGTTTTGTATCCTTTGGGTAAATACCTAGCAGTGCCATTGCTGAGTTGTAGGGTAGCTCTGTTTTTAACATTTTGAGGACCTTCCATACTCTTCTCCACAGTGGCTGCACCAGATTGCATTTCCACCAATAGTGCAAAAGGGTTTCCCTTTCTCCACATCCTTGCCAACACCTGTTGTTTCTTGTGTTGTTAATTTTAGCCAGCCTGACAGGTGTGAGGTGGTATCTCCTTGTGGTTTTGATTTGTAGTTCCCTGATGATGAGTGATGTGGAGCATCTTTTCACGTGTCTGTTAGCCATCTGGATGTCTTTTTTTGGAAAAGTGTCTATTCTTGTCTTCAGCCCATTTCTTGACTGGATTATTTGTTTTTTGGCTGTTGAGTTTGATTTTTTTAAGTTTTTAAAAATATTAAAAAATAATGCTTACATTATTTTTCCAATGCCCCAAGCTAAGGGGTTCAGAGATGGTTACTTGTGTCACCTAGGGCCCAGTGGGAGCTGGGGTCCTGACAAAGGGAGACTGACCCAAGAGCCCATCTCTTAACTGCTTTGGCTCACAATCACATGAAAAAAAATGATATTTTTTAAAGAAGCACATTTTAGATTTTGCTTAGTGTGCACCATGGATCTAATAACCCTGAGCATTTCTTTTAATAGACACCCGTGCTTTCATCAGACAAAGAGTTCACCAGGGCAACTTGCACAGACTCAGAGCAGAGCGCCAGTCTGGAGCTAGAGGATAGCCGGAGGGACAGTGCCTCCGCAGACGGAGGGGAAAGCCTGGGTCTCAGGCCAGAATCTTTCCAAAAAGCCACCAGGGAGGCACAATGGGACCAAGACCTAGAGAGACCCTGGGCCACTTCCTTGATGCATCCTCAGGATTCCCACCCTCATTTATGCAGACTTCAGCAAGAAATGGATGCATCAACATTGGCCACCTCTTTGGAAAAGGATATGAGGCAAAACTGCTATTCAGTTTGTGATATCAGGAGACTTGAAAGGTAAGAATCACCACATTTGCAGATACTTGGTATGTATTTCATTGCTAGAAATTACAGTCAAGCAGTTCATAACTGTGTTCAGGTGCTTACTGGGTCCAGCACTATTCTAGGCATTCGACAGTGGTGTGTGGGGGGGGAGCGGGTGTGGCAGAAGAAACAAGCATAAGGTCTGGAGCTGCTGCAACCACAGTTCATGAGCTTTTGGGAAAGCTAACCCCACCCAGTGGTCCTCCTGTACCCTTGGTGCCTACAGATGGCAGGCCTCAGGTGTTTCTCCCAGCATACGAACCTTTATGCTACATCCTGCATGGCTTTTTTTTTTTTTTTTTAAGATTTGTGTATTTGACAGAGAGAGAGAGAGAGAGAGCTGGGGAGGGAGGGGCAGAGGCAGAGGGAGAGAGAGAATCCTCAAGCAGACTCCCGCTGAGCACAGAGCCCCACACGGGGCTCAATCCCATGATCTTGAGATCATGACCTGAGCCCAAATCAAGAGTTGGAAGCTTAATCGACCTAGCCACCCAGGTGCCTTCCCGCCCCCCCCGGGGGGCCTTTTAAAGTATTGTGGTAAGAAAGAAGTTCCCTTGTATGTATCACCATTTTTATTGCTAATATAATACTTGACAATCGACACCAGCTTAAAAAAAAATCTATGTCTTTAAAAACCAGACTGAAACGTTCATTTTAATAGCCATTTTTAACTTAGCTGTCATTTTGTTCTCGTCCCCCACAAGTCTTTCCAGTCTCCCAGCCTATTCTGATGGGAAACATTCTCTTTGATTCAGTTTGACAGTACTCATCGCATAGACTCAGGGTGCACGGGAGCCTGTTGAGAACAGAGAAACGGGCGCAAGTACTGAGAAGGAGTGGGGTGCTGCTTTGAGACGTGTGCTAGCTAGATTCACGGGCACAAAGCAGGCAGGTAATGAGGAGCGACGGCTTGTGTGTGACGCCGGATAAACTCACTGCTGTGAAATGACTCTTCTCTGTTGCTCATCCTAGAAGGCTGAGCAGGGCAGATCTATAGGGCCTGGCAGGGGACATGAAGTATGAAGCAGCTGTGTAATGCAATTAGGCAAGGGGAGATCTGTGACCAACAGGAGCCAGGTGTACATTCCCTAAAAGCATTCAGGGGGCGCCTGGGGGGGCTCAGTTGGTTAAGCATCTGACTATAGATTTTGGCTCAGATCATGACGTTAGGGTCGTGAGCCCCATGTCTGGCTCTGAGTTCAGCGGAGAGTCTGCTTGAGATCGTCTCTCCCTCTCCCTCTGCCCCTCCCCCTGCTCTCTCTCTCTCAAAATAAATAAATGAATAAATGAAAGCATTCAGATACAATCTTTATAAGAATACCATTCCAGCCAAACAAAAACGAACTAGTGTACAAAGTGGAACAGAATGGGTAAGCACATTCGTCAGTGGTATTTATTTTCATTGTCTGAAAATGCATAAATAAAAGTGTATTTATAGTTTCTTACAATTGCATTCTAGGCAGTAATTGATATACTTGGTCACGTGATAAAGGAAAGAACCTCCAGAGTTTAATACAAGGACAACTGTTAGTGTGATCTTATAGGAAATATAAAAGGAACTGTACTTCCTTATAGATTTTCCAAAGGTTTTTGGATTTTTAAAGGTTTTACTGCCAGATAGTTCAGGATGATGGACAGAAATCCTGAGGGTTGGATTATTGGATTATAAAGTGACTCTGGATTTAGCTTCAAGCCTGCAGTTTGACTTGCCATGTGCCTTTAATCTAATATAGTTATCAGTTATTAACAATAGTTCTTTTTTTTTTTACTAATTATTAGTTTAGTTGCTGTTTTATTCATGGGGTCACAGAATCTCAAGGTTGTTCAATATAAAAATGATCTAATTCAATCTCATACCCCATGCTGAAATCTGTTCTATAACATCCCCAGGGTACAGGGCCTGCTTTTGACTGAATACCTCCAGGGATGCAAAACTTGCTACCTCTTAAAGTGGCCCATCTTATCACCATGTAGTTGTTGATCAGAAAGTGTTTTCTTATATTAAGGTGAAATCTGTTTTAACGCCTATTTCTTCCTATCTTTTTGTCGTTATTTTTGCAAGAAACACCACATTATTTTATTTTTCTGAATCAAATTAAATTTGGCTTAGTGTTCCTACTTGAAAGGGTATACCCGATGTCCCAAATATGCCATTTTTGGAGGGGGTTGCCTCTTCTAGAGTTACATAAGAATCCTGAGGGCTTTCCAGAACATTCCAGTGGAGCTTCTGATAATCAGTTGGTCATGGTTGCTGCCCCATGCTTGTTACCTAGGCCAGTGTGGTCCATGGAGCCATAGGCGGGCAGCCTTACTATTTCTCTGTCCTGGCTCCATGGCCAACACCTCCCCCTTGTGCTTGGCCTCCCTGTGGTGGTCCTGGTAATGACAGTGCTCTGCCTCCTCACATTCCCTGCCTTCATTTTTGCTATGTTTTCTTCCCCCCACTCAGGAACCCTTCTTTCTCTCTGAAGGAAGGACTCAAACCATATTAGCTTCTCCTCTAACGAGACATTAGCTTGTTCTGCTGCATACATAGTGACTGTCCCCTATAGGAAGAAAAGCATGGCACGTGCCCAACAGTTCCCGAACACTTTCCCCCAGCTCCTCATGGGATTGTGGCTCTTTGCAGACTCCTCCTAGAAGTAGCTGCGCCTCAGTTGTGGGGTGGCTGTCCCAGGCAACTACCTCTTTGTTTCTGGCATCTGTGAGTCAAGCTCTCTTTCTGCAGTTTGGAACCAAAAGAGCACGGACTTCTTGAGCATATAGCCTTGGTTTCAGCTTTACCATGTACTAAGTGTGCCTGGAGTGTTGACTTCTCTGAGCTCGAGGCTTCTCAAATGTCAACAAAGAGCAGACACTGTGCAGGTCAAAAGAAAGCATACCTCCTGAGTCCTCGCATGATCCCTGGTGCGCCATGGGAACTTAACACAAGTCACTTTCTTTCGCTTTCTTGCCCGCTAAAGAACAGGTCCCTTCAACTAAAATACCCAGCAGATTGCCAGAATTTGCCAGCTGCCAGGTGGCTACTTCCTAAAGCCAGGTAGCTGCCAGCACCCCAGCAAGCCCAGAGTGTTCGTGGAGAAGATGACATTTTACTTTTCCTTCCTTGTTTTTCTCTTTTACAAAGGTACATCTGGAGACTCCGCTGTGTCACGGGAGATGCTTATAAAGCAGGCTCATAAAGCAGTACCGTACATTTTCATAGAGGAGGGTTAGAATTGCGTGCCTGCCAGATTGGAGGCTTAGCACTTGGCTGGTGTCGCATCTTAGGCAAGGTTCGTTTCTAAAGTTAGGGCCTAAAGCGAAAATCCCATCAAGTCACGTTACCCTTGAACATCACTTTGGAAGGCATGATGTTCTTTGCTCCCCTGGTGTGGGAGCAGATAGCTTTTTCTTTGGTTGAGCCTCGGGGGGAGGGCCTTGCTGTCTGCCAAATGCTTATCTTTATGTGCTGGACTCATAGGAATGAATGGGGATGGCAGATTCAAGGCCTCCATGTGTGTTCATTCCTGGGCTTATGCTCATGGAGTGGAAAGCTGGTTATAGCAGGATGGTATAAGCTTATTTCTCTCTCTTTCTTGCCTAGCACATAGAGTTAAATTCAGATAATTAAAATGCAGGTAGTGTCAGCAATTATCATTTAGTGAAAGTGATGTTGTAAGTCTTCATGGTCATCAAGAATACAAAATGAAGCCAGAGTCCTTGAGACGAACCCAAAGTTACTGTATACCTTCTGGGGCGGACGCTGTTCCTGGAATAGCAAAGGGTGAGTAGGAGGCTACAGGTCTAACCCAACAGCAGCTGCCATGCCAGCTGTGACATCAGCATGGCTGGCCGAGGCCAGAAGCTGCCCGATGAGTGGGCTGTTGTTCAGAGAGGAGGGCACAGGGAACCCCTGTGAGATTGGAGCGTGGCTGGGGGAAGCGAGTGAGGCAGGTGCCTGGCCAAGAATGGCGGAAGTCTGAGAGCAGAGCTAGGGCAGGACTGGAGCCTGGGCTGCTTCAGTTGGCTTCTCTCTGTACACTTACAGGCTCCCAAGCCCCAGATGTGCCCCAGCCCCCTCCCCAACCACACATGGCCAGGCACATCACTCCAGTAACTCCTAAACACTGATCTTCAGCTCAGGATTGTCATGCGAGCTTCAAACTCAGCAGTCCACTGGACTTGCCTCCTTGATGTCTTAGACACACTGCAAGCTCACCCTTGGGGCCACCAAACCCCCTCAGACACTCTGACACCTCGCCTCGTGCAGGGAGCTTATTAGAGAGGTTGGAGGAGGATGGTGGCGGGAGGTCAGGTGTGAACAGTCAGGCACTGCGGTGCCCAGGGCATGTGCTTCTCCTCTACCTGTGCGGGGGGGGGGGGGCGGTAGCGGGCTGCTGCGGGGGGGGGGGGGGGGGGGGGGGGGGGCACAGCGTGGGCCTGGGCAAGAGGCTGGATTTCCTGTTCTTTGACAAAACTTCCACAGTATTCCCTTCCATTTTTATAAGAAAATGCATTTTCTACGCAATTTGGTCAAGTGCTTTAAGGTTTTAAACTGATTTTCCCTCAAAGTGCTTGGCGATTTTAAAATATTACTTTCTTAAAGTGAGTGTTCCTCTTCAGTCCCAGTAGCACACAGTCTCCTTTTTTATGCACGTGAGTGCGCATCTGTTTACATGAAACACACACTTACGTATACCCTGTAGGTCTCATGAGCAGAAATAACGTCTTTTTGACAGTGAGACTCAGGTGGGGACAGACACTCCAGTTCCACTGGGGAGGAGGACCGACCCTCTGGGCGCCTGGGGCTTGGAGCTCTTGAGAGGCACCAGAGCTGAGTTTAAAAGGGGCATTTCGGGAAAGGGAAGAGAGGGGAGGGCAGGCGGCACGTCATAAAGCCAAGCTGTTGCTTCGGGTGTGGGGAAGGAGGCTGATAAATGCGGATTTGTGCATTTGATGAAAAGCTAAACCTGCATGCATTTCTTTTAGATTTTCCTCCTCATCTTCTCTAACCGGACTTTCAACAGATATTTTCTGAGCCCGTTCTCTGCATGCTTGAAGCGCTGTACAAAGTGCTCTACCATCTCTCTGCACTGCTTTTTCTAATCAGAAAGCATGTGGGGTGACCTTTGGGCAGCCCCCGAAAAGCGTGTTCTTCCACTGTTGTCTCTGCATCTTCACCACCGGACAGTGCACCTCACTCACCAGTCTGCTGCCTCCTGTGTCACACAGGGACTAAATGTCACTCCAGCTGGCTGCCTTTACAAATAGGATCTCTCTCAGCACTCCAAAAAGGACTTGATACTTGCACAAAGTGCTTTGAAGGTCACCTGCTTGAGTTGCTTCCAGCCTCCTGGGGCTTTGGCCCTTTCCCTCTAACCCCTCTGTAGAAATCACAATCCTAAATCCTCTCGATGATAGCCCCTCCCATTTACTGAGGACTCACCCTGTGCCAGGAGCCATGGACGGAAGCATCAGAATTACATAATCTAAGCATCCCAGCAATCTTATAAATTTCTCAACCTTCCCATTTTTCAAATGAGAAAACTGAGGTCCCAGAGAAGTTAATAAGCTTGCCCGAGGTCTCCCTGACTCCCCATATGAAGAGTCAGCCCTAGAACAGAGTCATAGCTCTGTTTTCAATACCATGTCCTCTGGCAAGTCCTCCGTGGCCTCCTGACTCAGTCAGGAGCTCCCCCTGCTCCCATAATGCTCTGTGCTGCCTCTACCATAGCACCCTCTCCCTGGATTGTAACATTTGCTCTTCCCATTAAATCGGGATCCTTAAGGATGGGAGCCTCGCCTTATTCACTGTTCAGAACAGTCTCTGGCGGGAGCTGTTTGGACCCTGGCTGGCTCTCCTGTGCTGTGTCATGATGAACATCCTGAAAGAAAGAAAGGCGGGGAGAGGAATTTCTTATCAATGCTGGAAGATGCATGGGTTTTTGTTTTCTAGTCCTGAATTGGACACAGATGATGAGGAAGGAGACACAGGTCATGTACTTGAAGCCCCTTCTCCCACTGTGGAAAATGAAGCATATCCTACCATCAGCTCTACATGGAAAAGCCAGCTACTCTGTGAAGAATGTTTGGAGGCAGATTCGGGGACCATTCCCTTACCTCACTTCTGTTCTTGGCGTGCTCTCTCAGAGTCTTTGTCTGCAGAAGAGGCGTGTGATAGTGAGAGTGAATGGGAAGACCTAGAGGAGGCTGTGGACCCGGATGATGGCACCCTCAGGTGGGTATCACTCTGGGTAGACTGAGGCTGGGCTGAGTTCTTCTAGTGGGGCTCAGTGTTCCAGTCCACTTTGGCTGGGTGATGGCCCATGGGCGCCACCTCTTCCCCCTTATGTCCTCTCAGTGGGTCACACCTCATCATGGCACTTACCATAGCCTGTGTTCCATGACAACAACCCTATAAGATAGGGTTATTGTCATTCCTATTTTACAGATGACACATTTGGGACTTTCCCTGGGTCACGCAGTGGGTAAGTGACAGAGTCAGAATTCATCCCCGGCTCTCCCACTCCTCAGACCACATGTTCGGCGCTCTCCTCTGCTGCCACCAGCACGTGGCTGGGTGTACCGTCTCTCTTGGTGGGCTGCTTGTGAAGTGCTGACTCCTATTTTGCGTGCTCATGCCTGCCCTCGGGCTCAGTGTATTTCAGAGAAGAGCCTTGGTGTCATGTAATGTGGCCCTTCTCAACAGCCACTGTGTCTCAACACAGTGAGCTTTTTCTTGGTCAAGAAAGTCAATCTGTTAACAGAAGATGCCACCAGAAGTCAGGACTGGGGTCAGATGGCACCTATGAAGACAAGGGAAGAGTAAGTATAACAAAAACTGTCAGACTGGGAGCAGAGCGGATTAAACTCTTGACAGGTTGGTAAACCACGCAACATTCTGTTAAAGTGCCTATAGCATATGTTGTTCCAGTATTTTTAAAATGCTAAATGTTCAAGAAACATTCACATAAACACATTTTCAAGGCACATTGAAACTTACTGAGGCCTTGGCTCGTGAAGATTTGGGTGTGACTGAAACAGTCTTCTTCACTTCCATCCCACTGTGTCCTAGCTACATTTACACCACCAGTGATTGACCTGGATTCTTAGAGGACAGTGGCAGGCAAGCTGGGAAGGTGGGTGGATATTTGAAACTCAAATATGACAAAAGGACCGGTTCTGATCTGAAAGAGGAAGCAACAGGTTAATAGAGGGGAGGGCATGGAGGCTTTGAAGACCATGCCTGCCGTTCATGGGGCAGTTGGACACTGACAGCTTTGGGAATGATACATGATGGATTCACAGAAGCGTGGTATAGGCAGAGAGTGGCTTCTATGTGGAGGGCAATCTTTCTAGAGTGCGCTCCTCAGGGCTGGGGAGCTAAAAGAAGATGAGGTAAGCATACTTTGGGGACCCACAGGGAAGCAGGTAAGGACCCCCAAGTTTCATGAAATGTCCCAGGAAAGCTGCAGTTCCCCTGGGAATGGGAGCAGGGAGCAGAGTAGTGACAACAGGGCTTTTCGGTTGGAGAGGCTCAGACTCCAAGCCTGCCTCTGCCACTTACTGGGTGACCTGCAGCAGATGACTTTTAAACCATCAAAGACTCAGCTGAATACCAAATGAGGATAGCAGAAGCCACCTCATACTGTTACTCTAAGAGATGACAGTGCATGTCAAGGGTTTAGCACACTGCCTGATGAGTAGTAAGGACTTAGTTCATTTTAGTCAGAAATCATAAAGGAGGACATTACTTCAGTGAGATGATGCAACCTTATGAATGCATTCAATCCTGTTGATTTTTTTCCATGTAGACAAAGGAACTGGGTAACTTTGTCAGACTTGGGCTCTAATGTGAGGGGTGGGGTGAGGAGGAATACTGGTTCATGGCAGGAGTGTCCGGATGTGGGTAGACTGAATAGCCCTCGGCTATGGACAGTGGTTTGGGATGTAATTAGGTCTAGACCTGCTGTAGTCAATTCTTCTACTGTGCTGATAGAAGGCAGGCCAGCAGGTTAGTGCTCAAGGTGTGAGTTCATAGCCTGGGCTCTGTGGAGCAGCCCACAGATGGGCTTCAAGGCATTCACGTACTTCTACAGTTAGAATATTGACTTCCATGCTTCTTTTGGAAAAAGAACCCCCCCTTTTTTTTTAAAAAGAAACTCTTAGTATACTTTAAATTCTCTAAGTAGTCCATAATCCCCAAAAGATTAAGGATATCTGTTGTATATATTCTCTCTTTTATCCTGAAAGTGGGGAGAAGTTTTGAAGTGTATAAAGAGGACTTTACTTATGGACGGAGTCATGCATCCTCTAAAACCATATAACATATTATTTTCTTTGGTCCTTTTAGACATTGAAATAATAATGTTATATAGGCAATTTCCATAAATAATTTCATTTAGTGCTCATATCAACTTTGAATGGTATTCTTATTCCTCTCTTATAAATGGGACTTAGAAGGTTTATTTAATTTGTCCAAGATCATAAAGTTAGGAGGGGCAGAGTCACAGTGCATCTGTCTGATTCAACTTTTGGTGTGTTTTTGCATATCCCCTAGAATGTGTTTTCCACGTGGACTTGTGTGACACATATGTCTTTCCATCACATGTCATAAGTCCTACTATTTCTCTCACAAAATATTTCTTTCTTAGGAGGCTAAAACAATCCCTGTTGTCTGGTGGGATTGAGAAGGCAATTGAACTGTTCTCTTTAGTGAAGGCTCCTGCTGGCCAAAGGGCTAGGCAAGCCAGTGAAAGCTGCCTGTCGTTTTAGGTGAACCCAGAAAGTCTGAGAGTCACCTGAGGCAGAACCCTGAGGTTTCTGCATGGACGTCCTTTTGATGGTGATCACGTGGAAGAGCCCTCAGATGTCCTTGGTCCAGAGAATGTACATAGGAGTTCTACAACTAGGAAAGAAGTCTGTGGGTCCCTGAGGAAGCAACAGGGAATGGAGGGTCTGGCCTAGTTAAGAACTAACTTTCAAATGATCATGTCTGTCACTTCTGAGACTCATTTTGAATGGCAGTCATGACCTCTCTCCCATTCTCGGGTTTATGTTGAATAAAACCGTGCATGTGTGTGCTTGTGCTCACAGGGTGCTTTCCCCTCGTGAAAGGATTTGAGAACCAACCATCTACATCAAGATAAGCCAGCCCAGGATGAGGTCCCACTGTTGCACTGGTACATACTTTCTGGGAGAGATGCGATATTCCAGTTTGCACGTTTTAGTTCTCCATTGGTTGAAGGAGTTTCCATGGATTTCAAAGTGCTGTCAGTTCCCTTGAGGGACTCTGCTGAGAGACTTGGCTCAAGGCCATAGGAGTAATGTGTTTTGACATCTTTCTGTGTTCTTCCTATGCAACTCCATATGGTTATAAATTCTTTTAAAAGCATTTTCCTTTTAGAACTCAGCAACCTGATCCTAAAGATGATATGAAGGAAAAATAAGATGGGAACATCTAATAAAAAAGAAAGAGAGAAGTTGTAGATCCAGCATTACTCAGAAGTTATAATATAGCCTCCACCATAACAAGAAACTAAAATCATGTGGGATTAGCAAATGCACACAAAAAAAATAGAGCTGGGGTGCCTGGGTGGCTCAGTTGGTTAAGCGACTGCCTTCGGCTCAGGTCATGATCCTGGAGTCCCAGGATCGAGTCCTGCATCGGGCTCCCTGCTCAGCAGGGGGTCTGCTTCTCCCTCTGACCCTCTTCCCTCTCGTGCTCTCTGTCTCTCATTCTCTCTCTCTCTCTCAAATAAATAAATAAAATCTTTAAAAAAAATAGAGCTGGTGGACCACAGTGTGAGCCAAGGAACACACTTGGCATGATATGATAAGGGATACATGGCAGTGAGCATTTCAACATGGGGGAAGGAAGCCACCTTCACAAACAGAACTGGGGTAGTTGGAAAAGAGGGTTTAGATTAAAAGCTCACTTCATCTATTAAAATTACAGATGGGTTGACTTAGGAAAAAAACAAACAGAGAAAAGCTGTAGAAAGCACACTCTAGTTTTATCAGATCTACAGAGGAATAATATACTTCTGGCTTATAGCAATAATAA